ATAAGCATTACAGAGAATTGGAAAAGAACAAAAAGTAAAAAAAAAGAAAAAAGAAAAGACAAAGGAGGTAGTATAAGGAAGGAGGGAAGATGTGAACAGGAAGAAATGAAGGGGAACAGGACAAAAAAGAGGAAAGGAAAGAGGAAGAAATGCTGTAGTAAAGTTTTAAGAAGGAATTTTATACCTGATCATTTTCACCTGGATATTTTAAATTCTTGAACTTTCTCCAGCAAATTTTATGGAAATAAACACAGCAACTTTTACTGCACATTAACTGAAAAAATCCCTGGGAAAAAAATAAAAGTAAGCTGTTGATATGGACATAGTCATTCATGCAGATATGGAAAATACCATCTTAAGTCACTTTTAAAATTATTCTATAACTAGATGAATTTTACACAACATTCAAAATTTATCAACAGAGATCACCAAAAAACTTTAAAAGTCATTTTTACATCATTAAAGACAGAAAAATTAGGACAGTAAAAAAGGGACAATAATTTGAACAAGTAAAAGTAATATTTTCTATGTACCATGTACAACAAAATACCAGAAACCCAATAAATGACTTTGTTGAGGAACATGCTGTCCACCTCTCTTCATTTCCACTTTTACATTTTTCTTTTCCTGAAGCCCCAACTCCATACCATTATTCCCTCAATCTCCTCTGTTACCCATCAACAGAACTCAGATTTGCTGTCTTGGTAATAGATAGTTCCTGAGCTACCAGCGGCACAGATTTCTTGTCCTTCCCATTGTGCCCTCCCTGGAAACTACAGCCCTGCTTCCTTTAAACTCTTTTATGACAAAAATCTAGATTGCATGCCCAGGACTTTCTGCTGCTACATGCTGTTCATTTGATTGGAACCCTGAAGACTTTTAGAGAAACCTTAGGACCATATCATTACGTCACCTAAACCAACACCAAATGTACCGGGCCCTGAGCACTGCATCTCACCAAGTTCATTTCCCAATCCTTGTCTTATCTGAGTGAATAGATCTTGGTCTTCTCCTTCTCCCCACCTAACCCATTTGCTGTATACATCATGCCTTACAGCTGAGATTTCAGTTGTTTTATAGAAGTGTTGTCTGTTTTGCACTGATAGTCACATATTGTCATCCTATCTTGTGATTTCACAGTCTTATTCTGATGGATCCAAAGAGATCTATCAGAAGTATTCTGATTGCTGAATTTCTTCCAATCAAGGCTGGTTACACTTTCCCCTTGCCAAGGCTCACAGAAGAAATAATGATCACTTATTTAGTAACATAATTCCTCAGGAGTGACAACCCTTCTCCTAGGTAAAATACTACTATTTTCAACCTCTAACATTTCTAATTATAAGGTAAAGCATTTTTTAGATCATTTTTACTGTATGACTGATTACAGGGATAATAGTTACAACTTCAGAGGTATGTGAATGTTACAAAAATCTCAGCAAAATCAATACATTCTTTTATGGACTCATAGAATGTAAATAATTCCTGCTTACTTTGAATCTAAGTTCTCAGAGATAGTCAAACAACTTCTCAACTGCTTTACCATTGTAATTAAACTAAATACTCTTTTAAAATAATATTTTGATGCATGATAATATAATAATTTTCATCTAAGT